GTTTGTGGGGAATTCCCCTAATTGTGGGGAGTTTCAACTAGATTGGGGATTTTGTGGGGATTGGCGCTATGTGAGGAAAATGTGGGGATTTTAACATTTTATCATTTTGTTTAATCTATCAATTGCTGATGCATCGCTAGTTTGATCGTTACTGTTAGAAACACTGTGATAGAATATATATCGACGTGTTTTTCAACATCACACATCCCTCGTATTATTAACAAGCAGCTTAAATAGAATTATTATTAGAGCACTTGGTTCTGTATTGTAAAATTACCAGTCGGTGCTTGTTGAGTTCGCGATTCTTTCTCCCGCTTAGGATGGTCCCCGGTATGAAGCAAAACGAAATCAGCTATTGATAAACAAAGCCGACCAGTTGGTACTTCCACACCACAACTTACCACTCGTCAACTTTAAATATTAAGTATAGGTCGAAACTCATTGATTATTTCTAACATTAACATAGTGTCACCAAATGCACAACAAATAATCAATTTACTTAATTTTGTAAGGCAAAGAAAAATGATTTTTTGTTCAGACTGATTACAGATTAATGTTGAATCTAATTAATATTATAATTAATATAACTGCCTCCGTGGCCGAACGGTTACCATGCCGGACTGCCATGCAGAGGTCCCAGGTTCGATTCCCAGGTCGGGAGAAATATTTGTATGGCCTACATTTATTTCTTTCGTGAGTTTGGGTGTCATTTATGGTTGTCTACGTGAGTGTCCATGGCACCCGCGACACAGGGTTTCCCTAGTGCGGGGCTATGTTCAGTGTGTACGTTATTATTATTATTATTAAAATAAATAAACGATTTAAGGTTATCTAATTTTATAATTAGTTTTACATTTTACATTCTGTTTACATTCACAGCAAACGTAATAGATTATTACATTTTGAGTTTCTTAATTCTTTATTATATTTTTAAGCGATGTATTTCTAATAAATAATGAAAACTCGAGATGTGGGCAATTTGTGGGGAATATGAACTTTGCTCTCCCCAAATTTAGGGATTTTAACCGTGATTTTTGGGGATTTAGAGCAATTGGCATTGGCAACGCTGATTGTATCGAATGATGTGACTTAATATCCAAGGTTCACCACCTCCACCAGATCTTTTAATATTCTTTACTTTATCCATTTTGCATGAACTCTTACAACGTCCAATAGAGTAAAAACCCTAATTGTAGTATTTTTTTAAATAAAATCTACTGCAGACGCGCTATAACGTGTTTGTCAATAAGTACAAACACTACAGAATGTCTATAAATTAAATATATGTAGAATAAACTTAAGAACACTAGTTTTTAGAGTATTAATAGACTACCGGATGTGTATAGAACAATTTTGCTGAAATAAATAACGCACACACTCAATATTGCAATTTTGCTGAAAATAATCAGTTATTCTACAGATGAACTTAAAATAAGGACTATAAGAGTAAATCTTAAGAGAGATTACACTTAATTAAGTTGATTGGTATTAAGGTATTAAAATTTTGACTTGAGTGAAATAAGTCTATAAGAACAATTTATTTTTTCTAAAACCATTTATAGAGAATTATTAATCTAAATCAATACCATATTAAGACTGTTTATAGATATAATAGTTTTAAGGCGTATAAAGTGTGCTCCTTGGGAACGCAACTGTGAATTAATAAGTTATTGATGTTCCAGGTTTATATATATTTCTCGTAATTGGCTGTTATAATCGCATTAGGATATCCATAACTATTCGAGGAAATCGTAAAAGTTCTACATTTTCCCAAACTTGGCACCCAGTTAGTATGGCATTATTATATCGAACATTATTAATTTAAATCTTTCCACTCGGAATTTGGCATTAGACTTACAATTCAATACCATACTTGCCACAATCCAACGGCAAAATCGTAAAACAAAACCGCGACAAATTAAGCGTTTTAAAATAACGAGTTATTAGGTTTTCGCGATTGTTACACATAGGAAATGAAACTGTTTTTCCGGATTTCAATCGCGTATATTTGTTTTTTTCAAACAAACCGACGTTTCGGGCCCTTTACAGGTCCCATGGTCACGATTGACTGAGGTGGTACAGTCTTCAACCAGTTACCATGAGAGATTGACGTTATTTAAAATAAGTTCATGCCAAAACTCCGTCTGGAGCAATGATCTTCTGTATTAATTACCTTATGATGTATAATAGCACCCCATACGCAATTATATAAGCAAAAGAAGAAATATACACGTGGAAAATGACTAGACAAGTCAAGAATGAAGAAGGACAAAAGAAAATAGAGGGGCAATTGCAGATTCATAATGAAGAAAAAGGACAAGGTGATAAAAATGGACACGATGAGGAACAATGTAAAATGCTTTAGCCTATGTTTCTTTAGTAGATTGTGACAATTAGTAATGATTATAATTTTATTGAAAGGGAGAGATGTAGTGTATGCACATAATTGAGCTATCCCTAATACTAAGTTGCGTAAACGCCACATATATACATATAAATAAGTCGTTGTGTTTAATTAATGCATGTTGTGTCAAGCTTTAATTGAGTCGACACTTATCACTAGTCCACTTGTGTGATCAAAATGTTTATGTATTAAGCGTATGACTTGTTAGTTGTATTATGTACACGTAAATATGTGTACATAATTATACTGGCAAGTGGTAGTTGACAGCTTTATCTATATACCCTTGATCACTGTCGACGGCTACCATCGTCTCGACGCCGCGCCGTTACCCTTGCCACTTAATCACCAAAAGCATTTTAACTTTGTTTGAAATAATATTTTTATCACTAATTTTATCAGACATCGCAATAAGTTGAGTATATTTATGTAAACTTTATGTAAAACGCATAAAATGAATAATACCGCTCTTTGACATCCCGGAATCAAAAATAAATAGGAAATACTCAAAACAAAATAGTTGTGCTCGTACTAACAATGACAATTTTTTGTTCTGAAGACGCTACCGTAGTAAAATTATTGCTTTATATAATGAGTTACACATCAAAAATATAGAACAAAATACAATACAACAATTACAGAATTTCAGATAGCGGTATTATCCACTCTATTATTCCTCTGCTAATTACACTAAGGACCGGCACAAACCGGCGGACGGCGGGGGAGAAATTTAAAGAGGATTTCTTTTTAAGACCCGATTATGCTTATTACTGACCCGAGAGACAGAGACCTCCGGGGAAACTACGGGCTCCCCGGCAAGACCAGGGTACGGCGGGAGTCCGCAATTGGTGCCACTCAGTGCTTTAAATCACAATCTGAGGGCCACTACGACCGCGCCCGTCACCCTGAGACGTAAATTGGCAAGTCACAGACGTGTAGCTTATAGGACTGAGCGTTATTTTCCGAAAGCGTTTCGAAACGCTTAATTTCAATGTGACGACAAAACGCTTTCATGTATGTTCCAGAAACGGTTACTAAAAAAAGGACTCGCACTGCAAGTTATGTATGTATGTAGTCATTTGTCTATGGCGTTACGTTCTGATTTTACACGTTAGGTTACTTGTGTATACTTCGTGATTCGTTCTAATCATGCGTTACACAACAAAATACTTTATTGCATTAACTTAGGTTACATTTATAAAATAAAGCCCCGAAAACATTTTTTACGAAACTGTTTCGGGACCGTTCGAAACGGTTTCACTGCTTCTTTGTAAAATGGATCTTATGCTAAAAGCATTCAGTTGATATTTCTATGACAAATTAGGCCGCCTATAGTACACCTGAACATTTCGCCAACCAGTTCTATCTAGACCCGGAAAAGTACGAAGGGAGGTTAGGTTTTTTTTGGAAAAGCGTTTTTTTAACTGTTTCTGGAAAGCGTTTCTTTTTAGAAAATAACCGTTTCGTTTCGTTTTTCGATAAAGACGTTATAACCCAGCTCTAGCAGCTTACCACTAGGCGCACGACTTCGTTTAATAAAAAAAGGTAAACCGACGCATTTACATACATTCCGGCACACACCTAACGATTCCGTCGCATACTGGTAGATCCCGGCATGCCTTCTCCTCAGCCTTCTGCCTTCCCATCCGCCTGTTTGCTTGACTAAGGCCGCAAATTGTCACCCACAGTGCGTTCGGCGAAACGTTCAAAGCTTAAAAGTTGGTTTACGCGTAAACCTTGAACGCCCCTCTGAACCCATCATCGTTTCTAATTTGCGGTTTAAGTCTATGATGGTTACTATGGACACGGTTCTGACGAAAATGTGTTTTGATGAGTTCTGACAAATTGAACCGAACATTCAAACGCCTTTTTTAATCGACTTCAAAAAAGGAAGCGGTTCTCAATTCTACTGAATATATTTTTTTTCTGGCATTTGTGAACTGATTTTGATGATTTTTTTGGTAAAAAGAGGGTACCTCAGTATTGGTCACATTTAAATTTAAAGAAACTATTCCACCTCTGAAGGTGGAAAACTAGGGGATGGATCCGGTTTCGCGCACTTTCCGGTAACCGATTTCAACAAAACTTGGCAAGTACATGTGTTTCCACGAACTTTTTAGGTCGTTTTTTTTATTCAGTAAAAAAGTTCTAATTATTTAATGAGACTGTTTACACTAGCAGCCACGAAAACGTCTGAACATCGCGTAGTTAGAACCAGTTGAGCGTTTAAACAAGTTTAAAAGACCTGCGTCTGTTTCGGGTGTTTTCGTGCTTTGAATTTCGAGCTATTTCACCATGAATAAAGATAAATTGATAAGTCCAGGTGTTCGTGGAATATGAGAGACAGAAATGATCATAACAGAGATATATTTCTCGGCAAAGGTGGGTGAAAGTTGCTACAGAACTCAACTCAAGCAGTAAGTACAACTTTGTATTTATTTTGATGTGGGGTTTGCATTAATTACATAAACAAATGTAACCACCTTATTCTGACGAGCACTTCGGACGCATTCTCCCAACACATTTTCGTCAGAACTCGCATACATAGTAACCAAAGCCTTATACAGTACAGAAGCTCAATATGAATAAATGTATGTACTTGAGAAATATTTCTGGACAAGGCTTTTCACAATACTTAGGATCTTCTCGTTGTATACGTGGACTGTATGTAGGCACTCCGCTCTGTGACTTCAACTGATCCCAATCCACCAACACCCAGTCTCCACCCTTCCAGTATGGCTCATAACCTGAACTAAATAAAATTTCACATAAGTACTTTTATTAGACAATAGGTTGAAACATACATGTACGGCACAATACTCGAATACTAGAAACTAAAACTAGGATGAAATTACATGAGTAAAATTGGGTCCCCACTGCAAGGTGCCCAAGATGCAGCCAGCTTTCCCCCTTTGTATGGCTATGTTAATGCGGTGGGCAGCTTAGTTGCTGGCCCTTGAGTTTCCCAGACAGTCTGTTAACTTTTTTGGTTAAATTTTGTACCGATGAAGGGCATCGGAATCCCACGGGCAAAGGGTTCACACTGTTATCAATACCGTTATCACAGTTATACCGTTCAGGGAACGAGTCTACAGGCAGGGAATGAACCCTGAACAGTTATACCGTTCAGGAAACGAGTCTACAGTCAGGGAATGAACCCTGAACAGAATGTTCCCTGAACAGTTATACCGTTCAGGGAACGAGTCTACAGGCAGGGAATTTCACTCAATATCCGTTCGCCATAGAAATGTGGAAGCGTAACGCTTCGTGCGAATCTTTGGAATATCCACAACATAAAGAGTGCAACCGCAGCCTACGTCTAGTCCCCCGATGCTGGTAAAACCAAGACATTCGTGGTTAGTTTTAAACAGAAAAATGCTTATTCATTCAATAAACCATTATCACCAGTTACAAGGTTCTTACCACGGTGGGACTTTTTATTCAGATATTTCGGAGCGATTCGTAGTCGTTAATCAATCACATTGGAAAGCAAAAAAGTCATACTGTGGTAAGAACCCTGTAACTAGTTCTAATAATTTAATGAATAAATAATAATAATAAATAACGCTAACACTTTAACTCCAAAATAAGAAAACTCTATGTCGCGGGTGCCATGGACACACATATAATATTTGTGGGTTTCCCTAAGGCAGGGTTATGAGTGTGTGCGTTGTTATTATAACTTACGTAGGTGCGTAATAATAATCTTCCTTCCATTGTGCTATGTCTGAGTTGTTAAAAGCGTCGTTATTGTTTTGTTTACGCTTCTCTCTGCAAAGACAACAATATATAACAAAATTTATACGACAGTAAGTCAAACCTGGATTTAAGCAAAGTTACACGCCTGTACATAACAGTTGCAGTGCCGCTCAGAGCTTTAAACCGTCACCCTGAGACATAAGGTGTCAAGTCCCATGTGCCTGTAATTTCACGAGCTCCCTTCCCTTCAAATCCGGAACACAGTAATGACATGACTACTTTTGACGCACTCTTTCGCTACTGTTACTAAAATTTCTCCCAGGTTAGAAAGAAAAGGCGTGGTAGCCTAATGTTAAGATTTACCGTCTCTCAAGCAAAGGCCGTAAGTTCGAATCCGGGCTCGCACTGTTTTTTGGAATTTATGTGCGAAATGTAATTTGAGCTTTTCGGCGAATGAAAACATTGTGAGGAAACCTGCACGTCGAAATAGGTTCACAACCCGGAAAAGTCCCCAACTGGCGCAGGCCAACGTGGCGGACTATGGCCTAATCCTTCGCCTGAGAGGAGACCCGTGTGGACATATAAACAGGTTGAAGATGATGAAGTGAAAGCCTTAAATTAAAATTAAAAACCCCCGATACAATACAACGCGTCGGGTCGACGACAATGACCAAACACGATAGTTCTACTGTAGTTAAGGAGTTGGGCTGACTGTAGATTTTTCTGGTTGCAGCATTCTTCATGATCGCATTTACGTAAAACACCAAATTTCATGGCATTTAAACAAGTGTAACAACTATATCTTCAACACCCAATTAGTTCCCCTGAAACGCGCTATCGTTTTGTTAACTTCTATAGTTTAGATCAATTCATGTACATATTTTGTATTTAAATGATTCCTTAAAATTTGCAAAAGCATCAGGCAAAAAATCTAAGCTGTCATCTTTTTTAATGATAGATCCTCTTTCGCATAAAATTAATTAAATTGATCGATATTTTAATGTTCTGAGCTACACAAAAAATGTTTGATTTGTATATAAATTAACTTTGATAGTTTTATGTTGAGCCTCAAAACTAAGACGATTAAGCATTAAAAATAAAATTTAGTTACTTATTTTTAAAAATAAGTAAATGTTGATTATATTTGTATAGTAATAATATATAAATTATAATATAATTTGACCTGAAAACATGTTCGGAAACGAAAGCAAATTGGCTTCTGGCAACCGCCGGCCGCTGCCGCAGCACGCTCGCCTCGTTCGCTCGGCTCGTGCTGCTTTTTCATATACTAACCTTACTTACTGAATGGAGGCGCAACCAAGCAACCAAGATTCATTAGGAGATCAATATCAAAAGATATACTGGTTTTAAATGATATGTTATTATAATAAAAAATTTAAATACAACGTATAACCTACTTTTTACATATTATATCTTTTTTTTTTTTAATCTGCTTACAGATACCCCGGCTCTGCCCCCGCGGGGCCGGGGTATCTGTAAGCAGACAGAGGATTATGTGGGACTGGGCTGAACCCTGAAGGGGAGCAGCCCGACCGCACTAAACCCCCGGAGTGTTCCTCCTCTCCGCTGTAGATGGGGGTACGGGTACGCTGTTGCACTCGTCCGCGCCCCCACCAGCGGCTGGCCGCGCCCTGCGCAGCCCCTCCCCGAGGAGGGAGACACGTCGGTCCCCCGACTCCGAATGTGAGGCTCGCCGAACACCAGACGAGCCTTCCATCCCGGGCCCCTTTATGCTGAGCAGCGAACTCCCCCGAGTCCACTACCCAGGGGCCATGAGGGCCAGGACAGCATCCACTCAACTGTGAAGTTCAGTGGCTGCTCCCCCAGCCTCCGCGGCGGATCTGATGACAGGCTCCGCCGCAACACCTAACGCGCTTCCGCGCGGACTCTCCGAAGAGAGTCCCTTGGAGCGCCCACCACGGGCCAACCGCCCACATTCGGCCGCGGAGGATAGGACGAGCGGCAACGACACACCGACACGTCTCTTCCCCCGCGGCCCCGCCGCCACTGCATTGTCGAAAGCGGTGCAGCCCCGCCAGGGTCGCGGAGGACAGGACGAGCGGCAACGACACACCGACACGTCTCTCCCCCCGCGACCCTCCTCCTCGCGCATCCGCGCGGTCCCGCTGACCATACGAGGCCCGCGCGGAACGCCTTCCTCCTCGGGCCAGCCTACCACCATCGGCCGGCCCCGTGGGTTCCTCTTAGCTTCACCGTGGGATGAAATCGACCACGGCTACTAGAGCCCCCCCGCCACGACAAGGCGGGAACCCCTTCGGGGGGGTACATATTATATCTAGGGCAACGTAGGCGAATCTCGAGAACGAACAATATATGTACAAAGTACTAAAAAGACCTACCTTAAAATTTCGTGGAATTATATCTATTTTACATATATATTATATAATATTATATATAGTTGTCGAAGTACGCGAAACCGAATTAATCCCCTATTTTTTCTTTAGAGGTGGAATGTTTTCTTCAAATTTAAATGGGACTAATACTGAGGTACACCCTTTCCAACAAAAAAACAGTCGAATTGAGAACTTCCTGTTTTTTTGAAGTCGGTTAAAAATATGTCACTTTCTTTCGAAATGTCATTCAAAATGCACAACGCTGTGGTAAGCGGCGCGTAATTCAGTATATTGGTCCTGCGCGGCGGTAGCGCAGGAGTTTGTTGTCTTACGGTGCGGCGCACTCGCGCAGTTTGGCACAAGGAATCTGAGAGGGATGTATTTTACTGCAATACCATGTTTTAAGAACGTAGCTCGAAATCTAAACTAAAACGTAGCTCAGTTGGGAAGGCGTCAGCCACGGCATGGTAATGTCGCTGGTTCGAGAACAGCCGCCGGATCGAACTAATTTTTCATTTTGTTCGACCTTTATATTAATAATTTAAAAATAAGCAAAGAGCCCTGGCGATTTGCGAGCGATTTGAAGGCGGTGCGACAGCGCGGCGTGCACGCGGCGTGTACGCGGCGAGCAATTCGCCAGTGTGATAAGGCTCTTAAATCCGTAGTCCGATGGCTTGGAGAGAAATATCAAAAACCACTTTGACAACTGTTCTTGTGACAATTTTCTGCCTTGTAAATATTATTGGAATATCGAAACAATCGTTGTGGTAAGTGAACTTATTCTGATTTTGACTCTGCAAAACTTAATCTATTTCAAAGATTTTCCCTTTAAAAAGCTTAAACAGAGATCCCAAACAATAAGTGGAAACTTTTTATAAAATAATAACATATTACCGTGTCATTTGTGAATGTAATTTGTTTTTTTCTTTCCTTTACCGTAATGTTTTAGACTGAAGATAATGGTTTACGACCATCAATTCTTTGTTTAAAGTTTTTGTAATTATAAAAAACGAAGTATAACTTTCGGAGAGAAAATCTCAATCATCGCCTTAAAAGAAGCTAGAAAGTGGTAAACGCCATCTAGCAGCATCGTGTCCAACTTGCAAGTGTCGAACTTACGCTCAGCTACTAACTTATAAATATTATTTTAGTCTATAAATTAAGTAATGTATACAGCAACTTACAAGGCGTTTCTGTCAGTGTCCCGTCTGAAATCATCAATTATAAGATTTTGTTTATTTTCTTCGGCTCCTTCAAATATTCTGTGGATCCACTCCGCCCCTCCAATGTAGTATATACCAGCCGATTGAACTGCAACAATGCAACACATGAACGCTACTTTAGATATATATGTATTTATAGTAAGAGATTTAGTTCCGTAGTCCTCCTAATAGAAGTATTTTCATGCTTAAAAGTAGGTCTCAACCTTGTATGCAATTTTGTTTAAATTTGAGACGAAATAAAGCATTTTTATGTTTATTTATTTATAAATGTCTGCAATCTCCAACAGACCGTGAAGAGATCTGTAACTTAAAAACTTTGTAGTGACCGCGGACGTCTAAAACTATAGGCGATATAAACTTACTTGACAATAGTTTTCAAACCACTATGCCTCGACACTCTAAGTTATCGCAGGCTTCTGCCAACTAGCTACATTCCAACCAGAGCCAATAAAGTCTGGATCACATTGTATTAAAAACAAAATCTTTAGACTTCGATTACGGACCATGACACTATTTACTTGTACTTAAATAAAAATATCCAGGATCCAGTACTCGCTACCTAATAATAAAGTGTACCATAAGACTAACTTAGAGATGCTACTTTCTAAATGTAAGCAAACTAGTTCTGAACATATATTTTAGAAAATTATTTGAATTTAGCTATGAATCTTTTTGTTGCAACTATATCTAAACTTATAATAAATAATTATATGACAATAAAATTACCTAGAAGTAGAGTAATAATAAAGATTTGAATCACAATTGGTTTACTTCGATGCACAAAAAATTCAAAACCTAATAATATAATTCTGAAAACAACATACAACAGATACAGAAACTTCTGTAATAATCTTCTAAAAAAGGTGCACAAACAACAGGAAAGAGATCAACTACTTCAAGCCAAAAATAATTCTTCTAGTTCTTTACCAACAAACTCATTTGTTCTTATGCCCACGGACTGTGAAGAGGTTCAGAGAATTATTCAAGGTTTGAAGGGTGACTGCTGTCCTGTCTGAGATAAGATTAATGCAAAAGCCTTAAAACATATCTAGTGTTATAACAATAGTACTGGCTGATCTTTAAATAGGTGTATGAACAAGGGAGTCTTCCCAAAAGACCTAAAGAAATCAATTGTACATCCCATTCATAAGGTTGGGAACAAATTAAGTATTAACTTATAGTAAATTCGAGGCTTATCAAATATTTAGAGAAATTCAATCTCCTGACTGACACACAATATGGTTTCCGTAATGGTCGAAAAAAAAATGGAATAAAAAAATTGGATGGGAATTACAAATGACTTACGACCTTCCTTGACCTGGTTAAGGCTTTTGATACGGTATCTGTTAGTTGTCTAATTGGTAAACTAGAGGAATTGGGTATAAGAGGTACCTCTTTTGTTTTACTTACTCGCTATTTGACTGACAGATCCCAATTTGTCAAAACTGGCGATGTTGTAAGTGACGAACTTTCAATAACTTACGGGGTGCCTCAAGAGAGCATAATAGGTCCAACTCTCTTTCTACGTTATATAAACAAACTATGTCAGATTGATTTTAAGAATTGCAGGATGGCATCGAACGCAGATACTGCATTAACATTTTATTCGCGGTTATGGAAAGAACTTTTTAAATTAGCACAAACGTGATTCAAAACTGTTTGTCATTGTCTGGCTGCCTAACTCTTTGACACTAAACGCTGACAAAACTAAGTACATCATCTTCTCAATAAGAAATAGACTTGGTTCGCTACCTTCTGGATCTCTAATTGCTCATTTCTAAGCAATGTCAGTGGTGCTCAGTACTTCTCATAACTATACATTTGCAAGCAATGTGTCGTGTACCTGGCCAGGGATTTCTGGGACTCACACTGTAAAGTATTTCAGCGTGGTTATTGATAAGTAACTTAACCTGAGACGATCATATTTACGTGATATCGCAAAGGCTTAGAAAATTAGCATGTTTATTTAAATACTTGTTAAAAATGGTTTATCAAGCCTTAGTTGAGTCGATTTTAAACTATTGCATCAAAACAAGGGGCGGAGCTTCAAAGACACTACTCATAGAGCTTGAAAGATCCCAAAGAATGCTGATTAAGATGAGCCTGTTTAAGCCAAAACTATTAGCTACATCAAAACTATAAGCAGAAGCAGGAGTGCTCACGGTCAGACAGCTTTATATTCTGAGTACTATACTCTATCAACATGCTAAAGTAGATTCTTCCATTATTAGAAGGTATTATGAGCTATGTAGACCGCATCGATCTCCACGGAACTAACCGATCGGTTAGAACTTCCTTTGCGCTAAGATTTCTATATTTTATTGCCGGTAGGCAGTATAATGTATTAAATAAAACAATAAATATTGCAAATTACAATAAATTTGAATTGAAAAATAAATTAATTTGTCACTTAAATACTTTAAATCATATTGATGTAGAAATGTAGGTGTGGAAAAATAAAATATGAAACAAACAACACCTTACACACACACATTCTCAAACACAACACGTACACAGAGACACACACTTGGACCTTTTCAAAGCAAGAGTGAATAGGCATTATTTAGGTGTGCATGCACCATCGTCGACCTCCTCGTCACTTTTCATCAGGTGAGGTGGAGGTCAAATGCGCACCAATATTTTATATTAAAAAAAAAACACGACTGTTTCAATGTATAATACATGTTCCCTTAGTTATTTTTATCTAAAGTATAGTTCAAAATTTTTACATTACATCTCTGTTAGAATTGGTGCAAATTTAAATGGCATTAAGTTTGAAGTGGCGAGTCTGGAAGCTTAAGACACAGATCTCTGATCTAGTTTAATTTCCAGTCTCCTACAAATTTTGTCACTTTGGAAAATAAGATCTGTTTCTGTCATTGACCTACGGTCAATGGTTTCTGTGCCAAAAATTGTAACCAATATTTGTGGAGAGAAATAAATTTATTGTTATTTTATTCGGATCTAATTCGTGTATATTTGTTCTCTCAAACAAACGTTTCGTAAAGGTAACATGATCGTGGCTGACTGACTGGACAGGACTTCGAAGACCTCAAGAACAGACGTGCGCGCGCACACGGGACCTGACCTACAAAAATCATATAAAACGATGATGTCGATCATCAGTTACTTACAAACTGAACTGTCTGTTTTGTTTGAGTACACGTGTCCATCATCAAAAAATTTACCAAATCTCTAAAGATTAAGATAAACTTTACCTTTAACATTACCTTTTATTAAAAGATTTACTTGCATATGTAACACGCAAATTATATTAATCATCGCTGTCATTTTTGTAAAAAGCTAATTAGTTCTATATTTCAAAAATTAACAATACAAGTTAAAAAAAGACACCTGTACATTATTTTAAGATTATTGTTTTTAATTAATACCTATAGCGTTCTCTTTGGAACACAAATGGCAGTAAATTAAAAAATTTACAATTTGATCAATGAACAACCAAAACCAATTTCCAGAAAAAATAAAAAAATAATTAATTTCGTTGTTTTTTTTATTGTTTGCAATGGCAGTGGAATTCTAATCATTTGAAACCGAAACTTCCGTAGCAAAGTCTAGACCATCGAATATGGTTATTTACTCGATACTATAGACACTACACTGCTACGTAGGCATCTATTTAGATTACACAGCTGCCTTGCACGGACGGTCAACATCGTGAACAAGTATTTTCAGCTATCGTCAAATAGAGACAATAATTGCATAAATTTCATAGACATTTTTTTATGACGCCAAGAGACTGGACGAATAAGCCGTGCGACTGCTCGTAAGCGACACGCCTGTCCAAGGCAGTTCCAGTGCCATTTAGCTTTGTGACGGTGCGACCTCCTTTCACCGTCATCTCACCTTTTTGTATCGCCTCTCTCCTCTTGTATCATATCATTTTTTATTTTACTTGTATTTAAATTTTAAATTTGAATTGTTCCATCTTCCTCCACTTTCTCATTTTGTTTTCGTACCACGGTCACTCCCAGCTCGACCGCCACAACAGTCTGAGCTGTTAATAAGCTAATCGTGTGTAATAATTTATAAGTCTACACCCTTCATGTATCTATTTCTGTAATTCAGTTTCTCGGCCCATTTAGGGGTAAGTGCTTTAATAATAAAGTGTAGGGAGTGTTTTATACTGTTATACCTGTTTTTTACATTTACCTTATATTGTTACAGCCTTTCTTTAAACTTTACTTCTTTAATAAATTTTGTGGACCGGAAGTGTCCCATTTCATTGCCGTGAACCTGTTCACGGCTAGTTGGAGTTACAACCCTTTCAGCTTTAAAGCTTTCGCGTCATGTTACTGGGCGCTTAGGCTACCACGGCTTTTATTTTAATCGAATTTCAAAATTACTTTTCCCAAAACTACGCATATTTGTCACTCGGGAGTTCTATTCTAAGGTTTTAAACGATAGTTTCCCAAAGTGGTCCCTATCACTCCCCAGTGGGCGCTGAAGAGTCCCAGGGAGGCGGTCGGGACCTTGGAAGCAATTGGGGAACGTTGAAACCTGAATTATCTATTTAAACTACACTACATTTTTTCCTTGTGATTTTTGTGTTAATTTAATACAAAAAGATATGTGTTTTGAAATATTTTTTCTGGTGATAAGCGTTGAAAAATTTTTGTCTTGCCTAAGTGGGCCAAGATGAACCAAAAAGTTTGGAAACCTATGTTTTAAATAATTAAATCTACAAGTTTTGGTAATAAAAAGCCCATATCTGAAAAATGATCTCTATAACACACTGTAGTGTGGCAAAAACAAAAATGTGGACGGTACTTATACCTGGACATGCACAGAAAAGCCTCTGTAGAAACCTTCTTCTGCCGCATCGAGTATATAGAGACTAACTAGAAATAGAGACGAAATAAGGGTCATCCATCCCTAGCACCTCATCAGGCAAATGGGCCTTATATCACTTATAAATATCAACTCTCGTTTGCGCTGAAATCACAAATTAGAAAGCTGAAATAGTACAGCGCCAACAACTGACCTGTGTGCACGTCTCCGTATATTCTAAAAATATTCTATATTTATTGTAATAAAGATAATATCTCTAACAATGGAGTACTGTTCCATTCGGTGGTGTGGGAAAAACAGCAAAACATCTAATTAGCAATACAAACGGAATCATATTTCATCGGTAATTAAACATTAAATGTATAATTTTTCGATCCATTATAGCAAAGCTCAAGTTAAACTGGTCTTTTTGACGACACTAATCAATTGTTTCGAATTCGGGCTGGCCAATCGAAGCGCAGTTGTCACCGTAATGAATTTGGCAGAATAATTTCCAAACAAATTAAATGACATTTAGTCTCTTTTTCTGGTTATGTACTCGACATCAAAATCACTGTCCACACTCCCTAAAAATGTTACCAGGTACGTTCTTGTCTCGGCTTAAATGTATGATAACGCACATACGGATCTTTAGAAAAGAAAAAAAAAATATGATACTGTTTATTTCTAATAAAAATCATTAGTTACCCATTCATATACCAAAGGCAGAATCTTAAAATTAAATATTACACATATAATATAACCTTATATCGTGAGTAGCCTTTATACATCTATAATTATTATATTAATGGCCGATTTCCGTATCTTTCCTCAGAAATCTTTCACGTAAAAACTTTTAATATATTTTTTATTTGCACACGTTTTTTATCAATAATTTCATCTATAAGGCTTTTGGAAAAGTGATTTTATATGTGAGGAAGTTTACACATCCAAATTCTTTTACCATAATCATTATTACGTTAACGTATCTCGTACATAGGAAGATGTGATAATGTCCATAGTCTTACTTTGATATTTAGCGAGTTGTGACGATCGTGGATCGCCGTGTGACGTTAGGTCGTGACAAAAACCGTCCATGGTGAAGTCTGTTAAAATCCATTTTGAACAAAAGTAAACTAACCGGGTTGGTTAAAATTCTAAAGCAATCACTCAATAAATCGAATAAGGAACACTTTCACGTTTAGTTCGAAGGTTTCGACTTGATATCTCATCACTTTTTTCAACAATATTTATTTGAATAGCATCGTAAAATTGTATTTGAAAAGTGGTAGTCCAAAAGTGAGGTTATTTTTCATCTATACATCTATGACTTGTCTGTGGTTGCATAATGCTGTACGGAAAAACCAATTAAAGTTTTTGTAATCGATTGGTAAATCGAATATTTCAATCGTAATCGAAAGAATATCTAAGTGTAATGATTTTAAAGATTGCAGAAGGATTTAAAATTAAGATTTCGGAAACTTTAAATATGCTTATGTATGTTAAGTAGGGAAAACCGCTATTATGACTCAATTGAACAAATCGATACATGCAATTAATTAATCGATTTATAGTTGGCATTACAATTGGCCATCACTAAATCGTCTATGGTCGGGTCAGCGATTTGTTTGTCTATATTTTGTTCAAAATGGATTGAAACGAAGTATAAGTACTACTGACGGTCACCGAAACCCACCTTAATTCATAATATTGCATTGGTACAATGAACCAACATCGCAATGAAACAAATTATGTATAATGTGAAATTTTATAACTCTTCTACTTAAACTAATTCTAACCGCTTTAAAAAAGAAGGATGTTCACAACCCGACTGTATTTTTTTTGTAGATACTTATGTTATGCAATTACTCTGACATATGTGAACCGTTTTCTATGGTTCATTTTTTGTTGGAAAGTGGGTACCTCAGCAGTAGTTTCATTCAAATTTGAAGAAAATATTCCACCTCTAAGGGTGGTAAATTAGGTGATGAAGCCGGTTTATTGGATTTCACACAATTTCCGTAAACAAATATATGTAAATCCACAAACTTATGAGGTAAATTTTTTTTTATAAAACAGTTATAACTGTATTTAAGTTTTATTGAATGTCAGAAATTACTCCACTAGTTTGCTATAATTATTAAACAAAGAGTTGAAGTTAATTTTTTCTATGTTTTCGATCTTTGTTTAATAATTATGTCATAATATCATTCATAGAATACCGGGTGGAAATTTGTAATGCCACCTGGAGGAAAAGTACTCTAAATACTGGAGATAGAAATTTTTACATAAAGGAAACATGCCTTTGTTTTTGAAAAGAAATAAAACTGCATTCATAGATTTTCGAAAATTTCTAGCTACACGCGGGAATCGAACCCGCTTTAATCTGAAAAAATGCACCTTGCACTTTTATTGCAACGATCGATAGGGTTAATTATAAGAATAAAATCACTCTCACAAAACGTAAACGCAACGCAAAAAAGCCGTAGCGCCATCTATGAAAATATTTCGTCAAAATAATCTTTATTTCTTGTAAGCATTATATTTTTACACCTGAAATCATTGACTTACAAATAAATGGACGACGGGTCTAATACAAAAACCACGAAAAAAATGTCCCAAGCCAACCTATTTAAACGCAGTGACATGTAAAGGAATATGAAAAAGCTAAAACGTTGAATTTAAATTGTAATGTCATAGCAGTACTGTCTAATTTTGCTTGCTTCGCTGTCAGAAGAAACAAACGAAGACTAAAGCGTGAATGACGCTCTGTATACGATTTTAACGCCTTATAAGTTCGGACACTTTTTTTAGCGCACTTTTTCTAGTTTTAGCGCGGACCCGACGTCCATATAATTGTAAGTCAATGCCTGAAATCGTCAGATTGGCGAAACTCTACCGCTCATTCGTAAGGCAGTTTTAAACAATTATTAATGTTTGTAAATGACGTGTGCATGGTTAGTTAATAATAATAATAAATCTTTATTACGGATAACAGGGATCCGTAAAGTGTCAATAACAAAAACACCTTCTAATTAGGTTATTACTTAAATTCTACTACAGATTTTGTGGTTGATATTAAATGGCAACACGGGGCACTCACTCCTATAGGGATAGTCTTCAGTAGGCCATTGCTGCCGCCACGTATTCTGTTTAATAAAGACGCCAACTTCTTGAGCCGTGAGAGCGCCATGCTCTCAATTCGACTTCGAATTTCTCCCATTTGTGAACCGATTTTGATGATTCTTTGGAAAAAGGGTAGGTACCTCAGAATTTTAAATTTGAAGGAAATACTCTCCT